TTATATTTGCATAATTCTTTTTTTTGAATATTAGTTAGTGAGGTTAATTTTCTTCCCCTTTTGCTTCCAAATCTAGATGTTTTTTCTACGTTTATAATTGCAGTTTGGTTGGAAATTCGAATGCGTTTTGAAAGTAATTGACTATGTCAACCTTTTTATTGACAATTAAAGACAATTGTATAATGTATTACAAATGATATATATTACGATAGATAAATGATGACATAAGATAATAGAATATTGTTTAGATTCTAAATAATGACGCAATTGGGTAATTATTTTGTGTAAAATTATCGGTAAAAATCACGTAGTTCGACTTATCGAAAGTCATTTGTTATAATTTGGTCGACAGGATTGTCCGAGTTACGACTTATCGCGGCGATTTATATGTGCCGTCCGACTTATCAAAACTTTTTAACTATTCAAAAAAGGGGCCGAAAATTTTTGTCGACTTATCGAGTGTCTCTTGGGGTAGTTTGACAAAAATGTGAGTACATCATGAACTTCATATGCCTTATATGAGATTGATATTAATATTTTGATATATGATAATCAAGTGGATAGCAATAATAATAAGTAAATGATTTTGCTTACAGCTCCCCCTTTGTCATGCGCCGCTCATAGTTCTCAACCATCTAAATGAAACGCAAATATCAGTTAGAGATTGAATACATAAAAACACACCTCAAGTTCACCGCGCGGTTGTCAGAATGTATACAAAGTCTACTGGTACGGCCGCTAACAATAGACTTTGTTGTGATACTCGTATTCAGCATATTCTGTCTCTGTTATCCCTCCACGCCGTCCAGACTCGCTGCGGCTATCGTGCTTGTACTTCACAGAGACTTAAATTACAACACAATGAAAACACGCAATCCTTTGGCGGGATGTGGGATGTCAGATGGGTACCACTTCGCATCATCATACTAACTAGTATTATTCAACAGAGCAAACGTCAACTTACGCAATGCTATTCAGATGTCACAGTCGTACTGTCCTCATTTCTTTGCGATCTTCGTATTCTCGCATTGTACAATAACTGTACATTAATTATCAAAATATTTCGAATCGTTAGCAAGACTTTCATAAAATCTGCTAACACTTCAACGGTTGCAAATTGGACCGTTTCTTGCAATCTAAACAAACAATGAACCTCGGGCCTGTCTCTTATCATGATCTTTAGAATAAGCTTTGTCCCTGCCACCTGCACACCAATTACTCCAAAGTGGCCTTTTTCCGGTCTACGAGTCTTATAAACCCAGTATAGTCCATCATTCATATGGCGCCATAGCTTCGTTTTATCGTCGTTCTCTTTTTGTCGTGTGCATGCAGGTTTCGAACATTCTAAGTACAGTAATTCGTATGTTCTGTCATCATCTTTTGCAACTAACATCAAGTCTGGCCGTCTTCCTGTTTGACACTTTCTATTTCTTCGATCTGCTCTCGCGATACTTTGGCGCTCAGAACTAAAATACGTTAAATCTGTCAGTTCATGTGCGGCGATCAGTTTACGTAAAATATTATAGTTACCTAATAAATATACCTTCACCAAATGGATTATCTGACAGCAGCGTAAGAATAGCCGGCCCGATTATACGGCTTAAGTACATACTCTCACTTACTGTCTCATTCTTAAATGCCGGGTCGCGCCAAACGCTTTTAATGACTTCCAAAACGTTTCTGCTAATTATCCTAAGTTTGTCGTCGCTTTCCTGCCATGCACCATTGTGTAACGTATACTAAGTACGAGGCCCCATCGAGCTTGGTTCGTTTGGACAAACTTTCGTATAAACTCTTTACATTCTTATTTACGCAATCAGGCATTGAAGGCATGTCTCTGGCAGGGTTTCTAATAAAAAGGAAAAATTATTATCCTTGTCTGACTAGTTAAAACAATTTAAGAAGCCTACCATGAACTTTTCCTTCCGTTTAGATGACAAGCTCTGAACGATGATCGAATCATCACTGATTACCTGGCTTCCTAAACAATCTGACCACTGCAAATCATCTGCAGATATTGCATCTAAACCTTTCACTAGTTATTAATAGTAAATAGGCATAGTAATTATCCCAGTTCAGTCTTCCAGCAAGACGGAGCACCATGTCATACATCTTCATACAGCACTTGGTGGATGTCAACTCACGGTATTCAAGTTTTAGATTGGGTTGCGCAGAGTCCCGACCTTAATCCGATTGAGAATCTTTGGGATCATTTAGACCGTCAGATACGTAAATGAAACCTTCTGCTGCAAACGAAGCAGGAGTTAATAGCAGCGATTCAAGAGGAATGGAGGAATATTAGCCTAGAGATGTTGTGAAATTTAATTACAAGCTTACCGCACCGCACAGATGCAGTTATCGAGGCTAAAGGTGGGAACACCAAGTATTAGCTTTTGACATTTGAAATTTTAATGTATACAACAATAAAGGCTATAGTTTGTCATAAAGAATTTTCTCCATTGCTTGATAAGTCTAGAAATTGTCAATGTCACTTAGAAAATATGCGAATTTCATATTTATTTCAACATGTGACACAAAATCCCGTAATTTATGGTAGGGTAGTGTATGAAGCATGAGGTTTTCAATTTCCACGTATTATCTTTTTGAATTTACCCCACCAATAAATTCAGCCTTTCTCCATAATATTGGGGTGGAACATAAATACCATAACTGGTTAACAAATAAGGTCAGGTATAATGCTTTGTCTTTGATGAGATATGAGAAAATTTCAGTTAAAATTTCAGGGAGATATAGAGGATGTAATTTAATGTACAACATGGGTGGTTATATTTGCAAATTTATTCTTTATGTGATAAATAACACTTCTCCTGTAATTTGCTTTTTATATAAGGAAACAAATCCATATCATAACTAATTTCAATAAGATCTATACCTTGCTTCTTGCATATATCCCACTTTTTTTGATCACGCATCTGTTGACTACAGTACCTGCAGCATGCAAAGTAGGTGTTCAATGAACTCTCTTTTTTTTAAATGCTAAGATTATTATTAAATATGTTTAAATGAAGATTTGCATATTTGCAGGACATTCTTCAAAATTTGCCTGCTACAAGCGCACTCAGGTATTTAAATGTTTTCAAACTCATCTAATACTAAGCTAAATTACAGTGATTTCTATTCTGTATATTCAAGGAAAAATATAGATGAATACAAAGCATTAGCATATGCTTACAGATTCAGTAGCAAGGCAAAACATCAGAATATCTTCAATAAATATGGAATTAGGTGGTCTGAACTACATCAGTTACCTTACTTCAATGCCTTTAACTTTACATGCATTGATCCTATGCATAACCTTTTCCTAGTACTAGGAACCTCAAAAAGAATGTTAGAAAAGGCATGGTTATCCATGAACAGAATCAACAACAAACAATTAAAATCAATTCAGAGGATCATTGATTCAATACCCATACCATCAGATATCAGCTGAATTCTACACAAGATTAACATTAATAAACGAAGGGCAAGCAATGATGAGCATGAGGAAGACATGTCAAAAAAAACTTGAGCATGGGGTTGAGGTGAAATGCTTGCTCTTTTAGCAGCAATGAGGGGACATTACAAGGCTCTGCACAATACATGGCATACTAATGACAAAGGGAAAATCTGGCTTAGTATTTTTGATGAGTTTAAAGCAGAAATGAGAGGAGAGACAGATAGAACAGATAAAGGATTGAAAAGAAGGTAATTAGTCTATTCATATTATGTTAACAGAAAATTTAAACTGACACAAAACTCATTAATAAAGATGGGAAAAACTGGCACTTGATTATAAAAAAGTACAAGATAACAATAGAAGAACAGGTGCAGAATGAATGGAGTGTGAATATGAAGAAGAGATTTGTGAAATAGTTGGTGATGATCTGGTGTATAATGAAGTCTACAGTTCAGCCAATAGAAAAAGATCCAGTACTCTTGCATGACAAGAGAAAGCTGTGCAAAATAAGAAAAGAAGCAACATTTTAGATAGTCTCATTGAATTACATCAACAGACATGCAACAAAAACAGAGAATTTAACAACATATGACTAGCTATTCTTGAATGACTTGTAGATTCTGTTGCCAGTGACTGATCTTCAATAAACTTTACTTGAGATTTAACTGTTTATTGTTACACATCATGAGAAAAATTGACTTACCAGCTGGTTTCTCTTAGTTTCACCACAATGTGTGGTATAAACATCAACTGATATTAATATGGCAGAATCTATGCTATTAATATTGTCATCTCCATCAGTATTTTCAATGGTTTCCCAGAAATCACAGCAATTAATACAAAGGTTATGGAGGATACAACAAATGTCAGTAATGTCTACAGCAGTCCTACTGTCTATTACTCCATAGCATTTTTGAGTATGTGCCATCATGCCTTAAGCTTTCCAAAAGCTCTTTTGATGGTCATATGAGCAGAGGAATGTGTTCTATTATAACATCTCTGAGCATGTGTCAACCTCTGTCTTCCACTTTCTTTAATATTAAACAGCACCAATAACCAAGGCATGAGTGGAAATGCTGAATCTCCAAGAAGATTTGTATTATCAGAAAACTGTTTCCTAACATCCTGAGGCAAAATGAATACACAACATCATATACATAATAATATAATGCTAGATTTATAAAATCATACCTCCATAACCTCTTCCCAGAAATCTGACTGTTTGAAAGCATGAGCATCATGCACACTTCCAGGTTGTAGTTGACCAGAATAATGTATGTAAAGCTTTCAGTATCATCTATGATTTCCATCAAAATAATACTGTGATATCCTTTATGATTTATGTATCACTGATGAAATTGTGTCCTCAGATGCTGAATAGGAATGTGGTTCCATCAACAGCTCCAATAACATTAGGAATTCATTGTCCAAATTCTGGCAGTGCAAACCCTTCAATAACTTGTTAAACCTTTTCACTATCAGGCCAATGAATTACATGTTGTAGAGTGTCCAGAATGGCCTCAATAAAGCATTTGGTAAAATGTGCAACTGATCCTTGGCTTATCAGTCAGGGGATATGTCACATGTACTACAGATCAATATGATTCAATAAAAATTCTTTAGACAAACTTTATAATAAAGCACTGAGAAGACAACCAAAGATACTATAATACTTTAACAAACTCTATTCCCTATTTGTTCTTCTATCAATTGACAAAGCATGTTCCTGTGAACACCATGGCTAGGTATAGTTTCAGTGACATTTAATAATATAACTTTTCTACAAGATGTTCTTCAATGGTGATCTCAAGTCAGTGATAAACACTCTTTTCCAGATCACTGAATAAAGCCTATTGTAAAAAGGCTAATAATGATGTCCTCTGTTTGATAAGAGTAGAAGTGATATTAATATATGATCACACTCAGTAAATATATTTACCCCATTATTTAAGTAAAAGGAGTGAGGTAACAACAAAATAATGGTAGCAGTAATAGTACAAAATGATCTATTTTTATCTCATTATTGCATAATGATAAATGACAATAATGATATTGCCATGGGAATCAATGAATGCAAATAGGTAACTTAAAAGTTTACTTTATTTTTACATACACTGCACAACAGACTAATGATGTGGATAATGTATATAATCATGTCTTGTGAGAAATTTAATTGAGTATTGTTCACCATACTAATCAAATGATTTCTATAATAAATAAGAGAGCAAAAGTGATCCATGGAACAGGCTTTTATGTAATCTGATGACCCTTGCCCTTTTCATGGATTGAACAGTGACAATCAAATACTGAATCCCTCCACTCTCAAGCATACTTAGACCATCCATACTCAATGACTTTATTCACAGACTGTAAGGTGGTGATGGGTTCTTTGGTCAAGGATGGCCCAACCATGTATAATCAATTTAATATGGTAAGCATAACAGAGTTAAGCAACTGATATCAATAATAGATTTATTTAGTATTAATGTTATAACAGTATAAATCTCAAAACCAAAACTTTCTTTGCTTGTCCCATAGTTTGTATGGTTCTCATTGATCATCAATTTATTATTATTTCATTATCAATCACCAGTTTCTATTCAATAATCATACACACATGTACATATCCCTCAGGATAATTGTCCACATCATTATGACCTTTAAGTTTCTTTTGCATATGTTTGTGTGAATTCTTTGACTGACTAGGACTCTTTTTACTTGATATTGATGTGACTTTGTTAATCACAACATTTTTTTGTGCATTGCCCAACTTTACACACAGGCTTAGACTTCAAAACTTCTTGTGCATGTATATCAATAAGTCAATTTATACCAATATCATAGATGTTATTATATTATGAAATCCTTCCTGGGTGTTTTGAGTGGTATTGAGAAAGAGGGGATGCTCGCAGGGATTATGATGATTAAAAGCCTCTCATAGTTCACAGATCAGCTTCCAAAGGACTTCTTCCTAGATTGTATATTTTATTTACTCTGAATAAGGAATTTTGTTGCTGACATACTTGCTCAACAAAAGATTCAACTGCTCCCTCTCACTCTGCACTGAGTGTATTAGTCACTGGACATTGGTTTTTATAGGATCTTTATTGGCAACTACAGAAAACTGCTAAAGCTGCTTTTAGACAGCAAGTACATATACATGACTAAGCTGAATCAATAAAGAAACTTGGCCTATTGCCTGGTATTTATGGGGTAATATATATAGATGGGGGAGGAGGAATTGATGTTAATATATTGTTATTTATAAGGTTAGATAATGTATTTAAAGATGGCCAAAGTTTGGAGGGGAATAGAGAACGATTGTTAAATAGAATATGTTTAAAGGATATAAGAATGTCTAGGAGAATAGGAGGAGAGGAAGTGCCAAAGGTACAAGATGTGTAGGAAGTCCAGATAGTCCAGATAAAAGATGAAAAAATGAGATGACTTATTTGTTTTATGTTAGGAGATGAAGAGTTTGATATAAGGGATGAGGGTGTGGAGGAAGGAATGAGAAGGTGGCAGATTTCACAGGTGAGAGTATATAAAGAAGAAGCTATAGGACATTCAGAGAATAGATGAGGGATTGAGTTAGAGGTATCTGGACACCAAGGACAGGAAGAAGAATAAGGAGAAATGGTAGAGACAGAGATGCCAATAGGGAGAGAGAAGTGGGCTATTTTCCAAAGGAGATCTTGAATTTTGTGAGGGTAGTCTTTGTGGTGGATTTCTTTCCAAGAAAGATGAGGAAATTTAGTAGATGGATAGTATGGAGTATAAGGAGGAGAGGGGATAAAAGTAAGAATGGAGCGAAGAGTAGGAAGAGGGGGGGAGTTAAGAATAGTTGATGGAGAGAATTGTTGAATGAGTTTAGAGGCATTTAGACATGATCGGAGGGGTTCAATAGGAAGGTAAGTGCTACGTTTGTTAATGATACATGAAGGAAGGGATTGGGAGAATTTGGACAAGGTGAATTGGTTGAGAACCTTGCACCAAAAGGGAGGAAGAGTATCGAAAGTTTTTGAAATTAATTTGGCATGCCTTATTTGAAGTTCAAGTTTAATATCTGGAATTGAGATACCACCCTGAGAAACTGGGAGGGAGGCTATCTCAAATCTTGGATGAATTTTGGAATTGTTCCAGATAAAGTTATTGATAATGGATTGAAGAGAGGTGATTATGTTAGGAGGAGGAGGGCAAAGAGTGGCATAATACCAAATTTTTGATAGGAGAAGGGTTTTGGAAATTAGTACTCTAGAGGAGAGGGAAGTAGCATGATTTTTGACTTTTGTGATAAGGGAGGACCAAAGAGAGTTAGTATTGGATGGTGTTATGGGGAGAGTAAAGCCTAAAATGGCTAGAGAGGATGATATGGGAGGAGAATTTTGAGGAGTAGGAAATGGAGATGAAGGAGAGACAAGAAAAAGGGAAGATTTTTGGATATTAATAAATCCACCAGTAGCTTGTTTGTAAAGAGGGAGAATAGAGTCTAGAAGGAGAGTGAGGTCAGTTGCAGATGAACCAAATATAGTGTGTCATCAGCATAGGCACGAATAGCAAGGGAAGGAACAGAACGGATTAAGTTGAATAAAGGTTCAATTGAAAGATTGAAGAGGAGAGGAGAAAAGGGATCACCTTGTGGCACACCTTGAAGAACAGGAAAAGGGGAAGAAAGAGAGGAATTGATTTTGATTTGAGCAGAGCAGTTATGGTAAGAACAAAATGTGAGGTTAATAAAGGATGTAGGAAATAGGGAAGAAGAGAGGACATGGTCAAGCCATGAGTGGGAAACCCAGTCATAGGCTTTTGACCAGTCTACAGATAGAGCAAAGGAATTAGGAGGGAGAAAGTCTAAAGTAAGAAATGAATTAATGTCAAGGATAGTATCATAAATAGAACGATGTTTCATAAAACCAGTTTGGTCAGGGTGGATAAGAATGGAAGCATGTGCTTGAAATCGGGTAGCAAGAATGGTTGAGAGTAGCTTAATATCAGTGTTTGAAAGAACTATTGGATGAAGATTGTCTACATATCTAGGATCAGAGTTTTTCTTATGTATAAGGGTAATAATGGTTTCAGACCAAGATGGAGGT